TCTCTCTCTCTCTCTCTCTCTCTCTCTCTCTCTCTCTCTCTCTCTCTCTTTTTGAGATGGGATTTCTCTGTGTAGCTTTAGCTGTCCTGGAACTTGCTCTGTAAACCAGGCTGGCCTCGAACTCAGAGAGATCCGCCTGCCTAACCTCTCAAGTGCTGGGAGTAAAGGAGTGTGCCACCACTGCCTGGCACAGCAATACACAGTACAAACATCACACAACAGGTATAACAGTGGCGCTAAGTGTTTTGCAGCAGCATTCCTGATTGGATTTAAGGCTGGCCCCACAGGAAGAAATCCGTGTCTGGTGATGTTAGTCAGGACAAAACCCTGTGTCTGGGGAGGCCCAGTGGGAAAAGAGTTGTTCCTCTTTTGTTAAACGGATGTGGTGTGCCTGGCAAACTGCCTTTGACACATTTGTGTTTAATGCCTGTAGATCATTATTGCTGCCAGCCTCAGTCAGAGGAAAACTTTTTTTTTTTTAATTTTTAAAATTACATGGCGTGTGTGTACCAGAGAAACACTTTCGACAGTAGTTTTTCTTCTACTACGTTGGTCCTGGGGATGAAACTCAGGTCATCAGGCTTAATAGTAAGGACATTTACCCCCTGCACCAAGTCACTGGCCTCTGGGAAACTTTTTTTTTTTTTTTGTATAAAGTGTACCCCAGAGCCTTGTAACCACTGGTCACTGGTGCGGTCCCTGAAAACAAGGGACTGTTACTCAGGGGCTGGGGATTTCCTCAGCAGCACAACGCTTGCCTAGCAAGCGCAAGGTCTTGGGTTTTGTCGTCGGCACTAGGAAATGCTGACGACCAAATGGACAAAATAACAAAGATCTGTTTCTGCAGCGTAGTGGCCCAGTGCTTAGCCCCGGGTGAGCACCTACATGACCCCCTCTGCAGCGTAGTGGCCCAGTGCTTAGCCCCGGGTGAACACCTACATGACCCCCTCTGCAGCGTAGTGGCCCAGTGCTTAGCCCCGGGTGAGCACCTACATGACCCCCTCAGAGCTTCCGAGAATGTTACAGCAAACGGAGCAGAAAGAATGTAAGTAGTGGAAGAGGTAGACATTTGCTCTGAGTCAAAATAGTCCATCCTGGAGGAAGGCTCTTTAAGACTCAGCAAGTAGCTGGCGGTGGTGGCACATGCCTTTAATTCCAGCACTTGGGTAGCAGAAACAGGCGGATCTCTAATTTCTAAATCCGAGGCCAGACTGGTCTGCAAAGTGAGTTCTAGGACACCCAGCAAGCACTACACAGAGAAACCCCGTTTTGAAAAAATGAAAAAAGAAAAAACTCAGGAAGGAAACAACTCAAGCGTCTCAGGGAGTCCCTGAAACTTATCAGATTCACAAAACTCCTCCTTCCCCAAAACTGTGTGAGCAGCAAGGGCTTCCGAGGATAGAAGACGGTGTCCTGTGTGTAAAGCTGCCTGTAACTCGTGGTCAGAACTCCTGTGTGCAAACTTTCATGGGTTATCCTCCACGCTGGGGCAGGCTTTCAGTGTGATAATTGTCTTTTAGTTTTTCCTGTGCCTGTAAGCAATCTCTAGCCATACTCCTGTAAGAAACCCCGATAAACTCTTTGGTTCACCTGTTGGGACTTTGGTGGTATTGTAACTTGATTGTGTTGTTGACTCATTGTCATCGGTGAGCAAATGTTTGCTCGTGTCTCCCTAAGAACATGTCACACAAACCTCCAAGCTCTATCCTCAGAGAGCTGTGTCCCCACTCCTGAGGAACCTACCTAGAAAATGACCGTGGAACTCAGCATCCCTGGAGGGGTATCAAGTGGTGGGACTGCCAGTCAGTGTCTAGTGGGGCTCGCTGATGTGAGCCAAAACTCTGGGATCTGTGCATTTGTGCCCAGGGTCTGACACCACCTCCTAGCTGGGTCCAAACCCAGGCACCTCATTCACCGGGGACGTGGAACTCATGTTTTCCAGCCTTACCAGAGGACTCCGGGATGTGGTGCAGTACGGATGTCCACAGCACAGCCCTGAGTCTCATCTCTCTCTGCCTCCCTCCAGCTGGTCTCAGCCCCAGTCCCACAGTCAGGAAGACTTCAATGTCCACGGTTCAGGCTGCTCTCACTTCCATGGCCCATGCTGGCCACCTGCTTGACCACAGCAGGGCTTCCGGCCTGGAGTCCGCAGCAATTCAGACCCCACCTGGGGGCCCAGCTCCCCTCAGTGTTCACTGCACCCAGAGGAAAGACAAGGGTAGGGAAAGTGTTCCACACACCCACAGGACTCGTGACAGAGGGAGGAACCTCCACCAACACCCAGGTCATTGACTTAGTGGTGACCACATTCTAGAGAAGAGTCACAGTGTCCTTAGACATGACTCTGGGGGGTGCATCAAGAGAAATGGAGTTCCTGTGGTTTGTTTGGTCAGACCTTGGCCTTTCCCCCCTAACTTTAGTGGAATCATATTTTATATTACGAAGTGTGTAGCATTTATACAGAAAACGAATCCCACTGCCTTAAATAATTTGCTTATGAAAATTCTTGCAACCAAAGATGGGACGGAGAAGGAGGTGACAGTCCATTGAGAAATTACTACCTCGGTTTGTTTGCACGGCCAGACCTCCTGAACACCTTGTGAGCCTTCAGATAAACCCAAGTCACCTGGCTGGTGAGAGGCAGAGGGGACCGGGGCTCATCAGGCAGGGGAGAGCTCTAGCGGGCTGACTGGAGCTCAGAAAGCTCCGAATCTTGTCCTTTGACCCTGGCCTGCTGGCCTACACCCCAGGCTTGATGCAAAAACACCTTCAGCCATTAAGCCATCGCCCCAGCACAAGTTTGTTTTTGCTGTTTTGAATCTATCTCAAGTATTTATCACGGTGTCTACCAGGGGCGGCCTCTGGAGAGCTGCTCAAATCCCAGTCCCATCTCTTTTCCTTGTTGCTGTCTGATTGTTTGTTTGTTTTTCTGGGTTTTCAAGCAGGGTCTCTCTGTGTAGCACTGACTGTCCTGGAACTCAACTTCATAGACCAAGCTGACCTTGAACTCAGAGATCTACCTGCCTCAGCCTCCCGAGAGCTGGGACTAAAGGTGTGGACTACCACATCCATCTTTTTTTTTTAATTCTATGAGGTTTTTTTTTCCCCTGCATGTATGACTATGCCCACGTGTGTGCCTGGTGCCCATGGGAACCAGAGAGGGCATCAGATTCAGTGGAACTGGAGCTATGAACAGTTGGGAGCTGCCATGTGGGTGCTGGGAATAGAACTCGGGTCCTCTGGGAGAACAGTCAGTACTCTTAACCTCTGAGCCATTACTCCAGCCTCCTTGCCCCACCGTGAACTGAAGCACTCATGCGGCTTCCAAGCACGTGTGATCGGCCAGCTTCTCCTGGCTCTGTTCACATTTGGCCTTAACGATGACGAAGGGATCTAGGGATTTGCACTCTATCTTGAGGGCCAGGGATTGAGACAAGGCCTTGCTATGTACCCCAGGTTGGCTCTGTAGTCCAGGCTGGCACTGAACTTGAAGCAATTCTCCTGTCTCAGTCTTCTGAATGCTGGAATTGCAGGCTCTCACCAGTACACATGGCTGGCACAGCATTTTAAACCAGAGGAGCTGGAGGCTGCGAGGAGCTGGGCTGGGAGGTCATGACCATCTACATCATTTTCAGGGTCCAGAGCAAACGAAAACACAGGGTCCCTTTGTTCGAAAAGAATTAAGAATTTAAGCCAGGTGATGGTGACCCAAGCCTTTAATCCCAGCACTCAGGAGGTAGAGGCAGGTGGATCTCTGAGTTTGATTGAGGTCAACCTGGTCTACAGAGTGAGTTCTAGGATACCCAGCGCTACACAGAGAAACCCTGCCTCAACAAAACCAAAATAAAGTATTAAGAACTCCACGGGCAGAGGCGGGGGAGGGGGCTAGCTAGAGATAGAGTGCTATACAATGTTCATGAAAGAGGGTATGGCCTCCATCCCCAGACCAGAGGGGGAAACGGAATTTCAAGAAGCCTATAGGAGCCCAGTGTGGTGGCACACACACACACCTTTGGTCAGCATGTGGGAGGCAGAGGCAGGCGGATCTCTGTGCATTCGAGGCCAGCCTGGTCTCCATAGTGAGCTCCAGGACAGATAGGGCTGGATAAAAGACTCTGATAAAAATAAATAATTAAGGGCTGGAGAGATGGCTCAGAGGTTGAGAGCACTGACTGCTCTTCCAGAGGTCCTGAGTTCAATTCCCAGCAACCGCATGGTGACTCACAACCATCTGTAATGGGGTCTGGTGCCCTCTTCTGGCCTGCAAGCATACATGCAGACAGAACACTGTGTACATAATAAATAAATAAATCTTAAATAAATAAATAAGACACCTGAAAGAATCTACCAAACCCACGGCCATCTCAGCACATGCTCTGGTCACTTCCTGGGAAGGTGGCCCCACCTCAACCCAGAGCTTGGTATGGACGCTGTCTATCTCCTGAGCTCAACCAGTCCTTGGCCAGAGCCCCTCTGAGGCTGTTTTCCTCCTCTGTGAAGTGTGGAGAGCCCTGGGCACCATTCTTCCTTCCAGGCTGACTTTCTGGAACCCTTTCCCGGAATCTCAGTCTTCTTTGCCCACCCCTGCCCCCGACCACGAAGATGGGCGGCTGTGTGACTTAGCGCCGACAGGGGGCGCAGGGGCCCCTGCCAAGCTAGTTCTTTGGGCTGTGACTCACCCTATCCTGTGTGTCCCGGGGCCACAGCTAGGAGGGCAGTCGCCTGGGGAAGCAGAGCCAGAGCAGCTCATGACAGGATGACTCAGGCGACAGGCAAAGCAGGGGTGAGGTGGGGGTGGCAGGGAAGGGATAGGACGTTGCTTTTACGCCCTCTGAGCAGACAGAGCAAATAAAAATACCAACCCCCAGTGGAATTTCAGTTTCAGGTGCACAGTGGGTATTTTCCAAGGGTCTCAAATGCTGTATGGGACATGCTTTTGTTACTACGGTCTTTACTTTTATTTTTGTGCATGAGACATACCTACACTAAAGGACGTTTACCTTTAGAGCCCAACGTGTGGTAGCACATAACTCGGACCCCAGCACTCAGAAGGCAGAGGCAGGTGGCTCACTGGCAGTTTGAGGCCAGTCATAGTGAGTTCTGGGTCCGTCAAGGCTGCGTAGTGAGACCCTAGAGCAAACAAACATGGAATTCAATTAACTGAGCATTCTGTGTTTTATCTGGCATGTCAAGATCGTAGGGGTTGGAGGAGCTTCCATGCTGGTACAATCATGGCCCTTCGACGATCACAGGAGGGACAGCCCCACACCCCTTACCTGGCCAAGCAGCTCCGGAGACTGCACTGGGCTGCCCTGCAGGAGGCAGAGCAGAGGAGGTGTAACTTTCCTGGGGACACCGACAGTTCCGTCACTCAAGGCAGGGTGTTCTGTCATTTGCACAGCCTCACTTCAGCATCCGTCTGGCATGGGGCATCAGGCTGGAAATGAACAGGACATGTTAATGCTGGCAGAATCAGGACCTCTTACACATAGGCATGCACTTGATACGGAGCCACACCCAGTCTATACATTCCGACCACACAAGGGGAAAAGACAAAAAAAAAAAAAGAAAAAGAAAAAGAAAGAAAAGAAAAGAAAGAAAAAAAGAGCAAGAAAAAAATAGCAGAGGCCACAAAAGAAAGATTGGTCAATAGCTTTCAGATGATGTAACATCACGATACACAAGTGACAGGCTGGGACGGAATGTCTGAAGAATATGTCATCTCCAGCATGTAGAAGCACATGCAAGGCATAGCCTAGGGAAAACGTAGGGAAACAAAGCAAAGGGTAGCATGGCAGTCAACTGTGTGCATCTTCCGTGTGTGTTTTGAATGATATTAAATTCAGGCCAGTGATTTCTGGGTAGACCAAATTGCCTTTATCATGTGAGTGGGGCTCACCCAAACAATGGAAGGCCTGAGTCACTGGCCTGGGCTTGCTTCTACCGTCAGCCTTCCTGGGTCTTGAACCTCCAAGCCTACTCTAACGATTAAGATGGGGACTGGAGACATGACTCAGAGGCAGAGCACTTGCCCGACACCCCCAACTACTAAATTTCAGGGGCTAGCCTGATGGCTCAGTGGATCAAATCCCTGCTCTGTTCCAGGGCTACACAGTGAGACCCTGTCTCAAAAAAAAAAAAAAAAAAAAAAAGGAAATCTCCATACATTTGCTGCTGGTGGGAATACAAAACGTGCAGCCACTTTTGAAAAACATTCTGCTAGTCACTCAAAAAGTTCAACATAGCCGGGCGGTGGTGCCGCATGCCTTTAATCCCAGCACTTGGGAGGCAGAGACAGGCAGACCTTTGTGAGTTGGAGGCCAACCTGGTCTACAAGAGCTAGTTCCAGGACAGGCTCCAAAGCTACAGAGAAACCCTGTCTCGAAAAACAAGAACAAAACAAAACAAAAAGTTTCAACAAATCTGACCTCAAAATTTCACTATGTAAGAATTCAGGGGACTGGAGAGATGGCTCAGTGGTTAAGAGCATTGCCTGCTCTTCCAAAGGTCTTGAGTTCAATTCCCAGCAACCGTATGGTGGCTCACAACCATCTGTAATGAGATCTGGTGCCCTCTCTGGCCTACAGGCACACATGTAGGCAGATATTGCATGCATAATAAATGAATAAATATTTTAAAAAAAGAATTCAAACATTGCATTCAAACATGTCAATCACAAAAACGAATATTCACTGGGCTGTGGGGGCACAAATTAATTAATCCATATTCAGGAGGCAGAGGCAGGTAGATTTCTGAATTAAAACTGTAGGCCTGGTCTACAGATTGAGTTCCAGGACTGCCAGAGCTATTACACAGAAAAACCATGCCTCAAAAAAAAAAAAGAAAAAAAAAGAATATTCATAGTGGTGTTCTCAATAGACAGAACAACCCAGATATCCATCAGTTAATGAATGAGGCCTAGAAGGACCAGCTGCCCTGACTACAGTCAACTGCCAACACTTGTTCCTGGAAGGTGAAGCCGCTCGCTCACAAAGCTGATGGGCTGCTCACTGCTACTTTTAGGAAGCGCCTGGACTACTTTAGGAAGCACCTGATGTGACTCAGTGGACGCCTTCACAGGAACTCTGGGCTTCCTGGGGGCCATACTTGGGTTTTCTCGCGCAAGCTAAAAGCACCAGTAATAAAGCACCTTTTCGTCCGCCATGTGACTGTTGAGACTTGAACAAGTATCTGTTCACTCCAGACACTGGTGTCAGACTCACTGATGAACAACTTGGTTTAATGGGGTACTTATGGGAGTGTAGATGACTCAAAGGCAGCCGTGTCACCAAAAAGCCCCTCCCGGCGCTAGAGACACCTCAGGAGAGCTGTGTCTCGAGAGCTCCCTGGTGATACGATCTCAGGGAGGAACCCTGGAATCTTGTGACGTTCAGGAGTCTTCTGGGCCTTGTAAGCTGCATTTTCTCCCAGGGCATCTGTCTACACTTCTCAAATCTTTGAGCTTTCTTCTTCCCTCTAAGTCAGAAGGTTCTCAACCTTCCTAATGCTGCGTGTGGCCCCTATGTTGTGCTGGCCCCAACCATAAAATTATTTTTGCTGCTACTTTGTAATTGTAATTTTGCTACTGTTATGAATTGTAATGTAAACATCTGTTTTCCAGCATCTTAGGCGACCCCTGCAAAAGTGTCTTTCACCCTCCAAAGGGGTTGTAACCCACAGTTGAGAACCACTCCTCTAAGAAGCAAAGTTTCCATTCGTGGGAAACAGCTGCACAACACCCCAAAATCTCTGCCTCTCAGAAGAACTCTTATTCTATTCTATTCTATTCTATTTGCTTTATTAAAATTAGGTTTTTAGTAGCCCCAGAATATAATTTTCCATTTTCCACAAGACTCAAAAATAGAGCTGGAGAGACAGCTCCACCAAGGAGCACTTACTGCTCTTGTAGAGGACAGGTTTAGCTCGCGGCGCGCTGTAACCAGTTCCAGGACATCCAGTGTCCTGGCTTCCAAAGACTTCTGCACACACACAATGCATATAAATTTATACAGACATGCATACATACATAGAACTTTTATTTTGTTTTTGAGATAGGGTTTCTCTGTGTTGCCCTGGAACTTACTCCTCTGTAGACCAGGTTGGACCCAAACTCAAAGATTTGCCAGCCTCTGTGTCCCAAATGTTGGCATAAAAGGCCTATGCCACCATTGCCCTGCTAATATAACTTTTTAAAAATATTGTTTTACAATGCTTACAGAAGCAATATGAATTCTAAAATATTTACTGAGAAGATGGTAAGCTGGATAAAATGGCTTGAATCTGCAATACCAGCAACCTGAGAGAAGCTGAGGCACCAAGACCAAGGTCAGTAAATTCAAGGCCAGTATGAGTTAGAGAGTGAGTCTGAGGCCAGGGGGATGGGGTGGTGGTGCTGGAGGAGGCAGAACCTGTCGGTTCAAGTCTGTAACCCCAGCTACTCTGGAGATGAGGTAGGAAGGGTCCAAATTCAAGGCCTATATCAGCTATGCCGTACGTTCAAGACTAGCCTGGAAAACTTAGGGAGACTCCATCTCAAAATAAAAATTTTTTTTAAAGGCTGATATCATATGGCAAGATGGAAGACAGAGCAAGGAAATCACGTGGAAGTTTAAAGGTCAGGTTAGCTCAGAGACAAAAAACAAGTTTAATCTCAGCACTCGAGGCAAAGGAAGGTGTGTCTCTGAGTTCAAGGACAGCCTGGTTAGCCAGGGCTGTCCATCACAGTGAAACCCTGTCTCAACACAAAACAAACAACAACCCCCCCCCAAAAAAAAGCCAAGGTGAACAGTGAGAGAGATTGACTGGCAAAAATATCATTGCTATAGCAAGCCTATTTCTCTCCCTCTCTCTGTCAGATTAAACCCAGAACACTCATGCTCCGTGAGATCTCCATCATTAAGCTGCAGCCCCAGAGTTTTGTTTGCATTATTATTTATGTGGAGCAAGTGTGTGATTAAGTCTGTGGGTACACTCATGCGGAAGTCAGAGGACGGTTTCTGGAAGGCATTTCTGTCTTTTTATTTTATTTTTTATCATGTGACTCACAGGAGTCAAACTGAGGCTGTCATGTTTGTTGGTAAGTGTCTCTACATGCAGCTTACCAGCACCCCCCCTCCCGCCGCACAATTATTTTTTCCATAAGGCGGTCCTGGGACTGAAATGCAGCTCAGCTGCTAGCATTTGCCTAGTGCACAAGGCCCTAAATTTCATACCAGCACCAAAGAAGCTAAGCATGGTTGTCTGCAATTGCAACCCCAGCACTTGGAAGGTAGGGGCAGGAAAATGAGACGTTCTGTGTCACCTTTAGCTATATATCAAGGTGGAGGCTAGCCTGGAACACAGGAGACCCTGGCTCAGGGAGCTGCAGTGATGCTGGGGCTGCCTTCCAAGTCCTGGAGTTAAGCGACCCCCGCCCCAACCTTAGCCTCCCCAGCATGAACATGTCTCACTAAAGTGTAAGCTCCAGACTGTTTGGAGAGACACCAGAAGGAACTATACGAATGTCATCAGGGTGCAGAATTGTCCTCCACTTTGGTTCGCACTTTCTGGGACTCCTTAGCTCTAGCCTAAGAAGCCCACCACAGAATTCCACCGTTCCGCCGCTCCTCTCTAAGCAAGACTCTCACTGTCCCGAAATTTATTTGTGTGGCTGTCCCCATTCCCCTGGGTGGCCTCCCAGTCAAGCTCTTTCTTTACTCCCCATCGGGACTTCCACACAAACACTGCCTTTCCTCCAAGGCCCTGCCTTGGGCTTTCCTGGGGCCTGCTCTTCCTGAGCAGATCCAATCAGCCATCTCTGTCTGGCTCAGGCCCTTTGGCACTCAGCAGCCTGGATCTTGTTTCCGGGTAATCCGTTCTACTGCTAAAATCTCTCTATTCACCCACCGTAACAATTCCTCCAAGGTGGGGGCAGCTGAAACTTGGAAGTCTCTTCCACCGAGACAGCCACCAGCCAGCTGTGCTACGTACTTAGCTCGCGCCCAATGCCTTTGACCTTGATTGAATGTGGCTTTCAACCCTTGCCAGAGGCTGAACTTCCCATCTGGTTTTCTAACCCCTGTCCCGCCTAATCAGCCTCTTAAAATTCTTTCAGATTCAGCTCAACGTGGCGCTAACTCTTGGACAGTTCGACACGGATTTATGTCTCTTCTCCTCCCGCCTCCTCCCTACACATCTCTCTAGTGCCTGGTACTCGCCCTAGATCACTTATTAGACAGTCCACGCCGGTCTCCCTGGGACAGCTTCTTCACCCTCACAACCATCGTTCAGCTTGTTTCGAGTCCTGGCTGCCTAGCGTGAAAAGACAGCGAAGGTGCAAAAGTCCGGACCCAGAAGCGGACTCTATCCTGTAAACGACCTTGAACGCGCGCCCTGAAGGGCAGCCCTCTTAACTGTCGGTGGCCTTATGCACGCGAAGCCCCGTCTCTGGAACACCCTGCCAGGCGCCGCCAGGACACGAGAGGTGGGGGGGTGGAAGCAACTGAACAAGCAAGCGCTGCCCTGGGGGAGGCGGACTATGGTGTCATATGATTGTCTAGTCACATGATTCTTAGAAATGGGGTGTGGAGAGAGAGAGGAAAGGGAGGAGGAATGTGAATTGAGCAGAAAAGAAACACAGCTTTCCTGGAGAGTCCCGCCTCTATGTAGACAAGTAACCAATGGAAGACCTGGATCCCCGACCCGTGGCTAATGGAAACTGAGGTGGGCGGGCCATTGCGCGGCCGAGCCCTAGTCCAGAAGCTGACCGCCAGATGCCTCCCAGGGAGCGCGGACCCCAAAGCAGGTAGGAGGACCCGTTGCAGACATCTTCCCGGTTACCGGCCAGAGAGGCCTGGCCAGGCTGCTGTGCAATTGAGGCACCCCTGGCGTCCCTACTCAGAAACAAGAGAAGACCGGTCTCTCGATATCTCCTAGGGGTTTCTGATGCACTAAAGAGGGGTTTTCATTTGGGAGGAGTGGAAGCAGTTGTTGAGACCCTCAGTAAGAGGCTCCCCTTGACCGGCATGTCGGGAAGCTGCAGGCGTTTCTCCAGAGCAGTAACCACCCCTTTCTCGGGCCAGCTTCATTCTCTGTGCCTCGCATCTGTCTCCAGGTTCCGGCTCTTTCTCATTCCGGTGCCGCGAGTGGTCTCCGCGGCGGCTCGCAGTGGGCTGGGATCTCCCGCCCTTGGTCCCAGAGCTCAGAGGGGTTGGGAGCAGAACCGGGCGTGGTGGCTGAATCTCTGGGAAGTGTCAGCCGTATTTCCTTTCTGGAGGGTGAGGGAGCTAACTTCCGCCTCTCCCCGCCACTTTTTCCTGCTGCTCAGCTCGATTGGCTCACCTTTTGGGAAATTCATCTCCCCTTGACACTCGGAGTTGGGGGATGCCACCTAGTGGAAGATTTCGAAGCCAGGGCCTTGAAAGGCCTCTCAGGCTGTTTGAACAGAGTGGTGTCGAGGTGGCCACTGCCTAACCCTAAGGAGGGGAATTAGGTCTCTCACCCCATTCTAATCTGGCCAAGAGATGCCCTCTGGGATAGTCTGAGTTAGGGTAGAGGGCGCTTGAAAACCTAGAGAAGGAAGAAGGCCGGGGTGGGTGGGAGACAGATCCTCTATGTAGCCCAGGCTGGCCTCATTGTCACCTTGTAGCCCATGTTGACCTGGAACTTGCAATCCTCTTGCTTCAGCCTTCCAAGTACTAGGATCAAAGGCATGCCTAACAGGCCTAGCGGAAGTTGAGACTTCTTACCTTCCGTGGACACCAGTGTTCACAGGGAACAGTTTCTGAGGTCCTCAGCAATTGATCAGTGGCACTTCCAGGACCCAAGTGCAGATTCTACAGAGTCCCTGTCCCCACCCTGTTTCCTCTTTGTCTTTCTCCCCCCCCCCCTTGAGACAGGATCCTTCTGTCCCTGGCTATCCTGGAACTTGCTATGTAGACCAGACTGGCCTTGAACTCAGATTCACCTGCCTCTGCCTCCCGAGTGCTGGGATTAAAAGTGGGTGCCACCACCACTCAGCTGTACCCATGCTATGTCTATCCTGCATAGGTCACCTGTCTGGGAAATATGCTCTGCCCCCTCCTTTTGTACCTCTGGTCTCTGGGGTTTTCCTTTTCCCTGTAATGTCGAGGGATGTCAGTTGGCTCATGAACCCAGGTCCAAAATCCTCGGTCTGTTTTCCCTGACTTGATCCTTGGGCATGGATTGGAAAGTGAAAGTTAACATGATTACCGCCTTCATAGTTGTCGCAGAGAAATGGAGTAAGGAAGGACAAAGTGGCTCCCGAGAGGGTCTGTGAATGTTGCAGCTTTTGCTGCCCCTAGGCAGGGGCGTATCACTCTGGGTTGCCGGATAAGCCAGCTGAGCTGGGAAAAGGCTTATTAGGGAAGTGAGAGGCTCGGTTCCTCCTGCTGACACAGAGGGGCACTAACACCGAGTTTCGGTTTCTGAGTAGAGAGACAGGTGGTATGTTTGAGGAGTCCAAAGGAACTCTGGTGATGCTGGGGACAGGCATGGGGAGGCTGGGGAGGGCTCATTATGAAATTAGCTTTGAGGCTAACCCAGCCTCCGTGCCCTTCCCCTGGGTGAGGAGGGGACAGTTGTGGGCAGGCAGTGGCTGGCCTGTGGGGAAGGCAACCCAGACTCCACTGGTCACCACGCTTCCGTTTTCACAACTTTCTCAACCCCTTGGGTTCCCATATGATCACATGACTGACGACTCTATTGCCCCAAGGCCTTTGAAAGGTGCGCGTGGGAGTTCAGCGCCAGGCAGGAAGGTGAGGCTGACTGTCCTCCCATGGCTTCTGAAGTCTCCTCTGCCTCCCAGTTCGCTCACGGTCCTGTATATCACAGGCACATGCCTTCCTGACTGTCATAACTCCGTTCCTCTTCACTCACCCGCGGTGTCAAGTGTTAGGCCATGTGTGAGGACGTAAATCGACACTTGTGTGTGTGCCAGCATCCGTGCCCACGGTGTGTGCAAGCTGGCGCAAGGGTGATGCACACGGGGTAGGACGCTGAGTCAGGCAGCGCGTCCACTTGCCTTCCCGTTCACTTGTTCAATAAATCCAAGGCACGTCCCGCCTTGGCCTCGGCGCAGGGAAGTGCATGGCCTCAGATTAGAAGGTGGCAGAGGCTTAAGATGGCTGCCAAACTTTCCTTGGCCTTTTCAGGCAGACCATGTGGATCCTGGTGTGCTGGCTGGCCTTAGCGGCAGGGCTGGTGACTGGAACACAGTGTCCAGATGGTCGGTTCTGCCCTGTTGCCTGCTGCCTGGACCTGGGAGGAGCCAGCTACAGCTGCTGTAACCCTCTTCTGGTGAGTGCCTTGCCCCAGCTGGCAGCCTGGGCCTTCTGAAGGGCTATCTTGAGTTGGCCAGAGGAGGACTGGCTCGGATCCTCTGGTTTATGCCATCTCTTCTTTCTAGGACACACGGCCTATGATAACGAGCCATCCTCTGGGTGACTCCTGTCAGATCCATGACCACTGTCCTGCTGGCTACTCTTGTCTCAGCAGTGTGTCAGGGGCTTCCAGTTGCTGTCCCTTCCCTAAGGTGAGGGTGCCATTGGCGTGGAGGGGGTGCTTCATTTACTCCTGGCCTTCACTCTCCAATCCCAGGCCAAAGGGTCTTGTCCACACAGGCTTCTCTGTGTCCCACAGGGTGTATCTTGTGGTGATGGCTACCATTGCTGCCCCCGGGGCTTCCTCTGTAGTGAGGATGGGATGTCCTGCTTCCGTGTATCAGGTGCTGTGGGACACGGGATGGGGGCAGGTGGGGAGGGGTGGTTCCTAAAATGCCTGGGAACCCAACTGCCTGGGTGGCCCTGAGTCCTGTTTTGAACAGAGGGACAGTCCCGAGAGTAGAAGGGGACAGAAAAGGATGCAGAAGCCCAGGTGTTGTGTGGAGTGACCTAATACCTGCCCACTTTCCCGGGATGCCTCTGCCATCTCTCTGAAGTAGGGGCTAGCTTGTGGGAAGCGTGGCTTGGGATCCTGGGCGATCACCTAAGTCCTGGGACCAGTTGTTAGACCTCCTGCAGCTGGGCCTGCAGTTCCCATAGTAACGACGTGGCGAGTGACCTGAGAGTGACCTTTCCGGACCGGATTGGTAGAATCCTGGACTCTGTTGTCAGCAGATAACCTTGTGGGTGCCGTCCAGTGCCCTGGTAGCCAGTTCGAATGCCCCGACTCCTCTACCTGCTGCATCATGGTCGACGGTTCCTGGGGATGCTGCCCCATGCCCCAGGTACAGGTGTGGGGGAATGGGAGTGACTAGCGGGTAGTGGGGTAGAGCTGGGAGAAGGGGCTGTCAACGATGGATTATGGACCAGCTATCTCTTCTCAGGCCTCTTGCTGTGAAGACAGAGTACATTGCTGTCCCCATGGGGCCTCCTGTGACCTGGTTCATACACGATGTGTTACACCTATGGGCACCTACCCCCTATTAAGGAAGTTCCCTGCACAAAGGACCAGCAGGGCAGGTGAGGAGGTGGGAGGCCATCCAGCACTTGGGGTGGAGCCACGTTTAACTCTTGGCTGGAAAAAAGTTCCCCTCAGCCCTGGCGGCCCCTCCCACATGCCTTATTCCTCTTTCAGTGGCTTTGCCTTTCTCTGTGGTGTGCCCTGATGCGCAGACCCAGTGCCCTGATGATTCGACCTGCTGTGAGCTGCCCACTGGGAAATATGGTTGCTGTCCAATGCCCAACGTGAGTGAAGGGCTGGAGCCAGCTGGGCCTGGACATAGCCTTCCTTACAAGGGGCCCCTAGGAACTGGGCTGATGACTGGGAGCGTCCAGGCTCGTGCTGCCCCCTAGTGGGGGATTTGGGCAGTGCAGGTCATCAGCCTGGCTTGCTCCCTGTGTTCCCTAGAGACTGGAATTCAAAGACCCGTATTTGTCCCATCCTAGGCCATCTGCTGCTCCGACCATCTGCACTGCTGTCCCCAGGACACTGTGTGTGACCTGATCCAGAGTAAGTGCCTATCCAAGGACTACACCACGGACCTCCTGACCAAGCTACCTGGATACCCAGGTATAGGCATCTGCTCTATAAGGAGGTGGGAGGAGGTGTTGGTGGCTGCATGTGTATCCCCTCTACACTGGCCTTGCCTGAGGTTCGCTGTGGCTTGGTTCCCGTGCCTTTGATGACATGTCTTCCGCCTACAGTGAAGGAGGTGAAGTGCGACGCGGAGGTGAGCTGCCCAGATGGATACACTTGCTGCCGCCTCGCCACCGGGAACTGGGGCTGTTGTCCCTTTACCAAGGTACCTGGGGAGCAATGGGCATATGGGTCCAGGCAGAGGGACAGCAGGCTTGGCTCCAGTGCGTATTGGCCTTTCTCTGTCCACCGCAGGCTGTGTGCTGCGAGGACCATATACACTGCTGCCCGACAGGGTTCCAATGCCACACAGAGACAGGAACCTGTGAAATGGGAGCCCTCCGGGTACCCTGGATGAAGAAGATCACAGCCCCCTTCAGCCGGCTAGACCCACAAGTCTTCAAGCATGACGTCCCCTGTGATGATTTCACTAGCTGTCCTGCTAACAACACCTGCTGCAGACTTGATTCTGGGGCCTGGGCTTGTTGTCCCGTCCCGGAGGTACCAGGGGTAGGGGGACAACAGTATAGGGGTGGGGACAGCATCTTGGCCTGGGCAAGTGGGTGGCAAGAGTCCTGTTTCTTTATTCTTCTGCATTCTGCCTAGTCCACAGTGGTACCCCATGCTGTGATTTGTCCCCAGTTGGAGGAGCTATGAGCAGGAAAGGGACTCCTATAGTCCCTCTGGAGAACACACTTGTCTGCCCACCCCTAGGCTGTCTGCTGCTCAGACCACAAGACTTGCTGCCCTCAGGGTTTCACATGCATGGCTGAGGGGTACTGTCAGAAGGGAGACAGGATGGAGGCTAGCCTGGGCAAGATGCCTGCCCGCCAGACATCCCTCTCCCAAACTGGAGATATCGGTTGTGACCAGAACACCAGCTGTCCGGTGGGGCAGACCTGCTGCCCTAGGCGGAAGGGAGGCTGGGCCTGCTGCCAGTTACCCCACGTGAGTTTCCACCCACTGCCCTGGGGGAAGGGAGCTGTGCTCTGGGAATAGCAGTGTGACGCCCGTCCACCATGCCCAGGCCGTGTGTTGTGAAGACGGGCAGCACTGCTGCCCGACTGGATACACCTGCAATGTGAAGGCCAGGACCTGTGAGAAGGATGTGACCTCCATCCAGGCTTCTGCCCCGCTGACCTTTGGCTCTAAGGCTGGAGATGTGGAGTGTGGAGGGGGACATTTCTGCCATGATAACCAGACGTGCTGTAGAGATAGCCGAGGAGGCTGGGCGTGCTGCCCCTATGTAAAGGTCAGTGCTTTCCCTGACCCTGGGGCTGGGTGTCACCATGGGGTAGGTTCTGTTCTGTTCAGTACTCACTCTTCCTTGACCATTCAGGGCACCTGCTGTGCGGATGGACGTCACTGTTGCCCCACTGGTTTCCACTGCTCAGCCAAGGGAACCAAATGTTTGCGAAAGAAGACCCCTCGCTGGGACATGTTTTTGAGGGATCCAGCTCCAAGACAGCTGCTGTAAGGAGGGGCTAAAGACTAAAGAACTCCACAGCCCTGGGGGCACTCTGTCCAGAGGCTATCTACCGCTCAGGCCTCCCTAGGCCTTCTCCTAGAGTCTCCCAGACCTATCTACCCATTCTGAGTCACCCCATCACCATGGGCGGTGGCCTCAAACTAAGACTTTTATGCAAAGAAGGCTGTGGACCCCATTTCCAACTGCCATTTCCTCCAATCTCTGTGGACCTTGTGGCCAGGTGCTCTTCCCGATCCACAGGTATTGTGTGAACTTGCTTGTATGTGTATGTGTGTGTGTGCGCGCGTGTTTGCTCCAATAAAATTTGTACACTTTCTTAGCAGTGTCTAATTTGGTGCTCTGGGGTGTTCCAGATCCCATAGAAACACACACACAGCTTCAACCTCACCAGCTTTGTATTTCTGTGTCTAGAGCGTCACCATCACATTACCCCTTAGTCCCCAGGACCGCCCCAGCCACCAGCCCTGTGACATCCAAGCAGCACCCCTCCCCTCCCAAGGGTCCACAGAGATTGTCCCTCCCTTCCCAGCCCTCACCCTAGCAGCTGAGGCTGGGTCCCCCCTCCTGCTCTCCCACAATAGATCTTTCTATGTACAGCCACGTTTATACAGGCACTGCTCCCACCCCAGCCCTCCTCCCCAGCCCCTCCCATGGGGGGACCGGGCCCCTCCCACCTCCCTCTGCTTAGAGGCCGATCCAGGGTCCCTTCCCCCAAGACACTCCCCCAGCACATACCACCAATGAGCTCAGCAGGCCCCTGAGCCCTTCTCTCGGCTAAGAGCTTGTGCTCCCGCAGCACCCCAGGGCGCGCACTCTGGGGACCTGCACTGGCAGCAGGGGCTGTGGCTGATCCCCGGGCCGCCCTACTTAACGTTGAACACCATTAGAGGCCGCTCCTCCCGCCGCTGCCACGGGCTCTTCTTGTCGCCAGTCTCGTCGCCCACCTCCGCCCCTAGCTCGTCCTCCGGGCTGGTAAGCGAGTCGCGCCGCAGCTCGCTGGCGCTGCTGCGGGAACTGTCCCCGCGGCTGCGGCCCCGACCTCGGGGTACCGTGGCTGCCCGACCCTCGGGCGCCACCACCTCGTCCAGTAGGGGCGTTAGCGAGTTGTCCTCCGGCGAGCAGAGGCCCGTGCGGCTTTCGCTGCTGCTGGGCTCGGTGTCCTCGCTGAGCGCCA